AATTACATCTACACCCTCAACTATGATTTTTTCTTACTGCTCCTCCCTGATTCATCCAAATTCAACATAATCATCTAGATTCCGTGAAATGTGCTCTAGTTTGTATCCATTTTGTGTAAAAATACCGTTTCCGATGCACCACAAACTGATATATACAAGCTAAAATCACATATTATGATCATATTGCTTCATAATGTAGAATTTGAATGGGATAAAACGGGTACAAAGGTGATAATATTCCATATAATGTCGAAGATTCCACTAAATTTGAGGAGTTAAGGGGTTGGTTGTAATTATCCAAACAAGAGGGGTGTTTTTGTAATTTGACCATACCTCAGGGGGTGTTTGTAATTTACCCTATATATATATATATATATATATATATATATATATATATATATATATATATATGGCCTTTTTATTTTGTTTGAATTGTTGACAGATTAAAGTAATAGTATTATTGTCTTTTATTGTATATGTAAACAAAGTAATATTCTTGTGGTTGACAGTAATATTATTGTCAACCACATCAATGTTTATTCTTGTGGCTTTTTATTAGGGCTGGGACTGGATTGGTTTTTATCCACCAACTGACCCATTATCGACCATATTTTTAGGCGACTAATAATTTTTTAACCGACCCATTCGACTGGGTCAAAAATTTCAACCAACCCAACTATTACAGGTCGGTTGGACGTGGTTTCTAATATTTCAAAAGTTAGTTGCCAGATAATTACCGGTCAACCAACTATATTATTAAAAAAAATATTAAAAAATATGAAATAAATGGTGGATTTTCTTAATTACATTGAAATTTCTTGATATAGTTTTTGTCAAATTGCTAATAATTATTTTGAAGTGATAAATGATGATTGCGCAGTGACATTTCGCAGAATGCGTATAGTTTTACTCCAAAATTTGATTTTTTTTAAGTGAATTAGGTGGCAGGTCTAACCTATCAACCAACCCATTTGGGAACCAACCATCAACCGTCTCACAAATGTTGGCTCGGCAACTGTTTTTAAATTTGAACAAAATTGGTTTGTCGGATGGGTCGGTTTTTAGGATGGTAGTCAATCGGCTCAATCCAGTCCCGCACTTCTTTTTATTTTGTTTGCCTTTAATATTAATATTAATATTACTCTATTACACAGTAATAGTTATTTTGTTGTCGTTAATATTACTATGCTAGAGAGTAATATCAATATTATTGTGTTAAATAGTAATATAGTTAATATGACTATCAACCACAACGATATTATTGTTCAAACAGGCAAATATTGTTGAAGAAAAAAAATTCGAAAAAAAAAACAACAACAACAACAACAACACCGCTGGTCAACGGCGACAGAAAAAAGGAAAAAAGATTAAAAAAAAAAAAAAAAAAGTCAACGGCGGCGACGGACGAAATTATAGTCAAAATGGTTTAGGGGTCAAAATTGAATAATTGGTGAACTTCGAGGCCAAATTGAGGTTAAATGAATAAAATGATGAAATTGAAGCATATTAAAATGTGAGGGGGTATTTTAGTCTTTTACACACCTCTTAACATTGTCTGGATTCTTTTAAAAGAGTTTTTTATTTGAACCCCTTTATGAATAAGTATCCCATGATGGACTTATTTGTAATAGACCTTATAAAAAACGGTAATATGAAATAAAAATACGACTACAGTTGTCTATAGTCATACATATAGTCAGTCATATTCAAAGAAGTAAACTTTCCGGAAAAAAAATCAGAGAAATATTATTTTATGTTATTTTTTTTAAATAAAAAAATATTGAAAATATGAAAAATAATAATAAAAACGAAAATATTAAATGTAGTGTAAATAATGATACACGTGGATTTATGTAAGAAAATGGTATTTTTCGGTAGAAAAACTGCTATAAGTGTCTCACTAGGGATGAATATTAGGGGCGTACTTAATTCTATTTAGGGATTATTTGTCAAAAGTCCCTCATTACACAAGTCTAATTATAATAGGTCCAATTTTTTTAGAACTTTTTGAGATAAATCCATTTCATCATTAAATAATAAAAAATAATAAATTATCACTATTATACCCTTAACTTAATTTAAAAGTAACGTATATTTTATGATTGGAAATAAAAAAATAAATTGTAGAATTTTTTCCTATTATATCGTAACAACATATCCTCATATAATCCTCAAGCCCCTCAATTATAGAGAAACCGTTTCAACGGGTCATCACAGCCCCTCTTATGCCTCTTCCAATCTGGAGCGATTGCACCACCGCCAGCGACAAAATCCAATTAATGTTTGATTTATATTCATCTGTAATGGTTCTGTTGTAATTTTTGTGAAGATTCTGTAATGTAGTCGAAATCGAACCATCAAACCTTGGGATTTGGTTCGGAAAGAAAAAGGTCATCGACATGGAACTCTTTGTTGGATCGCGATGGCTCCACAGGTAATTTCTTTAATTTAATCATCATTCAGGCATGCCAATTTGCTTCTGTTAATTAAGTAACTTTATATCGTTTCTTGTTTAAACATAACACTGAATGGGTATTTTTGTTCTAATGTTATGTTTAACTAATATTATTATTATGCACGAGAGTGTTGAGAGAATATATTGAACTCCATCAATATTATGTGGCGGTTCATGTTTCGTCAAGTATGGGGAGGACTACTTTATATGTACATGACCCACTTCAATGTAAGAGTGGTTTTTGCACGCAAGAGTGGTTTTCGCACACAAAATGGTTTTTGCACGCATAGTGGTTTTTCATTAATTCCATAGTCGTTTTCGTGAATGATAAGTTTTTAGTGGATTTTTGTAATGAAATTTGTTAATTACATAGTGATTTTCATTAATTACAGCGTGGTTTTCATTAATTACAGAGTGATTTTCGTTAATTGATAAGTTTTTAGTGATTTTTTGTCATGGAACTTGTTAATTACATAGTGGTTTTCATTAATTATAGAGTGGTTTTCGTTAATTGATAAGTTTTTAGTGAATTTTTGTAATGAAATTTACTAATTACATAGTAATTTTCTTTAATTTAAAGAGTGGTTTTCATTAATTATAGAGTTGTTTTTGTTAATTGCATAGAGTTTTTCGATAAATTTATAATGTATTTTCGTAATAGAATACTATAATCACATAGTGATTTTTGGTAAGTTAGAGTGGATTTCAGTTTGTTAAAAACAATTTTTTTTTTTTTTTATAAATTTAACTTAAAAAATGGATGTATAAAAGAACCATTTAAAAAAAATTTGATAAAACTTAAAACATAAATAAAAAGAAAATCCCAATTAATTAATTAATTAATTAATTGAAGGAGAAAGAGGCGTGATACATGAGAGGATAGGAGAATGGTGGGGAGAAAATAGGGGGATTATCTACTAAGAAAATAATGGATTTTTAAAAATAATATAATATGGTAATTTTAAGTAATATTAGATAGGGGCATTTTGGATAATTCCACTCAATTGGATTTATAACAAGTATCAATTAAAAAAATTGGATTTATCAAGAAGTCAAAATTGAATGAGGGGTGTTTGACAAATAGCCCCTTCTATTTATTAGCGAAATAAGGAGTTTATTGCTAAAGGCTCCAGTAACTAAATAATTGTAATTTGATTGATGTGTCGTATGACTCGTATCTCAATAACTTGTCGCTTGTCTTGCCTATGGCCTTTATGGCAAATTATGGTCACCCCTTTGGTAAAGTTTAATTATGAAAAAACACTATTGTTTGCATAATTACAAGCACCCCCAACTATGTATTATCTTACGAAAAAAACCCTCTATTAGGTAAATTTAGGGGCGTTCATTTGATAAAATTGTACCGTAATTTCGGTACGTCAAAGTTTCATACCATTCAGTATTCGGTTCTATATATAATTGAATTACCAATTTTTTTTTATTGAATCTATATTATTTATGACTTTTTCATTATGTTTAATTATTTTAGGTTTAAATACTATATTACATATATAAATATATACATAAAAAAAAAATTGAATATCACACCGAATTAACGATTCGGTAATCGACATGTACCGAATTTTCGTTCAGTTCGATTCGATCGGTTAACTGATCGGATGAACACTCCTAGGTAAATTTAACATCTTAAGGCGGATGTGTAAGATAATGTATAATTGAGGGGTGGTTGTAATTGTGCAAACAAGAGGTTTTTTTTTCTCTTCATAATTTGACCTTATTGGGTGTCCCTAATTTGCCCTTAGATCATTTAATCTTGTCTTGACAAGCAAACGAGGCTAAGCGAAATCCTGAAAATAGTTCAAAACTTGTCAATGAAAACCAGTCATTTTCATCTTTCTGCACCACTCAGAAGTGCATTTATTACGTAAACTACACTCTATCGCCTCTTATGTTTGGTGTAATTATAGCTTAGACCCTCAAGTTTTAAAATTTACATTTGATTTATTTAGATAACAAAACACGGTTTATAAAATGCTACACTGGGTAGATATTTATCATCCATGTACACACAACCGCACACACACCAACATTGGTGTGTGTAGATCGACGATAAAATTAAAATTCACCCAGTATAACCTTCACCGGGTCTAGCAAAAAATAACCACAAAACACAATCAAGCTCAATATATGAAATTTTTACCCCTATTAATATATTTGGTCTTAATGGTAAATTACACTGACGTCCCTCTAGCTTATGTCTAGTAAAATTTAGACCCGTCAAATATGAAAAATCCCTTTGAAGTTTCATTCTGGCTTGGGATGACAGTGGGACGGGTTTTGTAATCCCCGTCCCGGCCCCGCTTCGAAAATTCCCGAATTTTATGAGTTGGTATGTCCATACCAACCCCGTAAAATCTCCACGTGTACCCGTGGGGACCCGCCCCACAAAATCGCCGAACATTTTTATAGAAAAATGCAATTTACTTATAATTTAAAGACTTACAAACCCATCCCCATTCTCATACCATGCGGGGCGGGTATACGGGGCAGGTACCTACAAACCCATCCCCATTCTCGTACTCGGGCAATTTTATTTTTTCAATCCCCATCCCGGCCCCGCATTTTTTCGGGGCGGGTAATACCCGAAAATTTCAGGGCGAGGAACCATGGGCGGGTCAAATTGCCATCCTGATTCTGGCCATCACTTAATTTTATTTGATACTTTTTCCTTAAAAATATTTTGGTGAACACAAACAAATTTCTTAATGATTTTAAATTCAGCTGTTCATGATTAAAACTTACCAGTTGCGAAGCTGCTGCATTTGGTGAAACATACACCACTTTTAAATTGCAATCTTCAAATGCACGTGTTCCTTCACTGAACTGCAAGCACGAAAAATTTCCCTTCATATTTTTTTTTTCCAAACAAACAATTAAAGGAATGTACCGAAGAATGTTTGGGGTTTTGGGTTCGAAGCCTAAGATTAAAAACGGGCTCCGATTTTATTTAGAGGGTGTTTGACTAAGCTTATAAGATGTTCAAATGAGCTTATAAGATATTTTAGAGTTTATACGCTCTTCCAAAATGTTTGGTAATTTTTTTAAAAAAGATCTTATTTTTTTTTAAAATAAGCTGTTGGAGAGCAAATAAGATCTTTTTAAATAAGTACCTCTACCCCACCTTTTTATTTAAAATCTTATCATGAGTAAAAATAGGAAATAAATTTATTATCCAAACACTCTAATAATAATCCTAAAAATAAGATGTAACAGCTTATCAGCTCTTAAAACATCTTATCAGACGTAAGAGCTTATCAGCTGTTTAAAATAAGCTTAGTCAAACACCCTCTTAATCAAGCATGTGAATGAAATTGTCTAGTGAATGAAATTGTCTAGTCCAACCTCAGCCGCTGTTATTACACAATCCAACGAAAAGGTATAATCCATTGTTTGGTATCTTCAATAAATTGTTGGGTCGACCCGCAAAATATTATGTTATCATGATTTATCTTGCATTTTAGAGAGTTCTTTTGTTGGACATCTCAAAATTCGATAAAACAATTGAATTTTCATTAGATTATCTAATCTTATCCTGCCAACTAAACGAGACCGAATTGTATAATTATAAATAATAAACATTAGATACTCACACATTGAATTAACAATGTGGGATAATTACACTTTTGGTCCCTCATGTTTGGCCCGATTTCACTTTTGGCCCCCCTTGTTTCAAAGTGAACAAAGTGCGCCTCCAAGTTTCAATTTTGAACACTTTTGGTCCCCGCCGTTATATGTCTGTTAGCAAGTAACGGAAACACTATTTTGGGGCGAAAAATAAATTTTTAAATTTTTTTGGGGCTGAAAACTAATTAGAAATTTAAATTAGACTACTTATAATTATACTTTTAATAATATTAAGTATTATGAAATTTATTTAGTTAATTTTTTTTTATTATTAAAAAATAATCATAAGTAGTATAATGAAAACTAATATTAAATGCACAATAATTTAATTAGTTAATTTTTTTTATTATTAAAAAATTAGTTATAACTAGTATAATTATAATAATATTAAGTATAATTATACAGACATGTTCAGCTAATGTTTTTATTATTACTATTTTTTTTATTATAAGTAGTATAATTAAAAATACTATTAAGATAACTTTTTTAGTTAATTTATTTTTTATTATTAAAATAATAATTATAAGTAGTACAATTATAATAATATTAAGTATAATTAAAAATAATTTGTTTAGTTAATTTATTTTTTTGTTATTAATTTTTTTTATCATAAGTAGTATGATTAAAAATAATATTAAGTATGATCAAAATAATTTGTTTAGTTAATTTTTTTTATTATTAAAAAGGTAATTATAAGTAGTATAATTATAATAATATTAAGTATATTAAAAAATATTGTTGACTTTTTTTATTAATTAAAATTATAAGTAGTCTATTTTAAATTTATAATTATTTTCAGCCCCAAAAGATTTTAAAATTTCAATTTTCACCCCAAAATAGTGTTTTCCGTTACTTGCTAACGGATATGTAACGGCGGGACCAAAAGTGTTTAAAATTGAAACTTGGAGGTGAACTTTGTTCACTTTGGAACAAGGGGGACCAAAAGTGAAATCGGGCCAAACATGAGGGACCAAAAGTGTAATTATCCCTAGACAATGTAAATCACATCCAATTCAAATAATATTTAGGGTAAATTACACCTACACCCCTGATATATGATAAAATAACTTTAAGGTCCATGTGGTATTATTATTATTATTATTATTATTATTATTATGAAAACCTCGTAACCAACCATATAGGTGCACTGGGTAAACATATACTCTCGTATAATAGCTTGCAAAGTAGATTTATTGTAGAGTATATGATTACCAGCTCGTGTGCGGTTTCTGGTGTGTGAAGAGGAGTTGCAACAACACTTCTTATCAGAAACTCATCATTACACTCCATGTTAGAAGGGATCTCTGTTAGGGTTTGCATAATTACTGCAAAAGAAACACACACGCACTTACGAGTTTTTAGCACCGAATTAAAGAAAATGTTTGCAAACTAAATTCAGTGAAATCATTATTTATAATATTTATGTAAGCAAGAGCAACACACACAAACACACATGTGGATTGTTTATTGAGAACCTGTAATCTCTAAACATTCTCCGGGCGAAAGAACTCCGGCATTGGGTTGAGAAAAATATTTATCAACATTTGTCGTCATAACCTGAAATAAAAACATGGCATCATCTAATTAACGGTTTTGTAGATCTACACCTGGTGAAATACACCGAGCTAGTGATCTTGAACCGTTGATCGACACATAATAACACACTCCAATGTGTGTTTGTGTTTAGTGGGTAATTATTTATTGTATAATAAATCTACGGATTTGAGCAGTGCCCATGAAATATTACATACCTTAAAAGCAACATGGCCTTGGGAGTTATTAGATATCTTAATTCTGCGAGAAAGTTGTCTCCCCACCTTAACTAATCAACCAAAATATAAAACCCAAGAAAAAATTCTAAATAGATGTACAAACAAATAATCAAACAATAAATTGCAAAAAACAATAAAAATAATGAAAAAAAAAAACAAAGAAACTTACGGCGAAAAGCTGCCTGCTGAGGATCGATATCAAGGAGCTTTTGCATGCTCATAACTGAGACCTTTTTTTTCTTTTTTTTTTTTTTCCTTTGTTCTTTGGAATTCGGATATTGGAAATGAAAAATTGAGGGAGAAATAGAGAGAAAAAATCGGGGAAGGCGGAATCAAAGACATGGTGGCAATATGAAAAAGGAAAAGGACGGAATTAGTTTTCTAATCAAATAAAAGAGTTGAAAGTTTAAAATTATATAAATTAAAATGCAATTTGCAATAGGATTGAGAAGTAGCCAATGAAAAAGAAAAGGCATTTTATTTTTTATCAAGTTATTTTTTTTAAAGACTTTGGAGAGGAAAAAGTATTTTATCCCAATTTTAAATGATAAAGTACAAATAGTAAATAATATTCAATTCAATAGCTTGTACGTGCATAAATTATTGGCAAAAATTGAAACAAAATTTCCAATTTATGTCGATTCACATGAAAGTTATTGACCAAATCTCGTAATGGTCCCCCATTTTGATATATGTTTTGCTAAACTTATAAGATATTAAAAAGAATTTATAAGATCTTGAAGAACTTATAAACTCTTCAAAAGTATTTGGTAGTTCCTTTAAAAGAATATCTTATTTTTTTCTGAAATAAGTTGTTGGAGAGGAAATAAGATTTTTTTTAATAAGTACCTTTACTCCATTTTTTTTATTTAAAATCTTATAATGAGTAAAAATAGCAAATACACTCATTATCCAAACATTTAAAATGTAATTGTAAAAATAAGATGTAACAGCTTATCGGTTATTGAAACAGCTTATCAGACATAAGAGTTTATCATTTGTTTAAAATAAATTTAGCCAAACGGGCCCTTCATGATTTGGTGCTTTGATGTCTTAGTTGTCTTATTTTCATCCTTCATCTGTGTATTTTCTACTCCTTTCTTGTACTCAATGGTGTAAGCGAAGCCCATGAACTTGGCCTAAGTAATTTTTTTTTGTCTTTAATAAATGCATTTATCACTCTTAGGCGGTGAAATCATGTATAAAAGAATATACGTTTAAATTTTCTTCTTCTAAAATTTTGACATCAAGTTTCAAAATCGTAACACATACATGTTTATTTTGAGAAAAGACTGCGAAAATATTCAAAATAGGACCGAACATAACCACATATGTTCTATGCAGAGACTCAAAAGGTTTGTTCTATACTACACTGAGTGAAATACGTTGGATTTTATCACCAGAAATGCACACAGAAATACAAACATCCACATTGGTATGTGCAAATAAACGGCAATCATTTACTTAACCTTGCCATTTACTTACCTTTTGAGTTCTAATATGTGCATTCATCTTCTTGAAAACTATTTTCAAGTAACTAGTGCATAAAATACATGGTAATTAACAATTACATCAAAAAAAATGAGAAACATTTACAATCTTATATGCATGTTCACAAAACTACCTAACTAGATAGAACACTAATATTTACACGATTCATCATTATATTCGCTATTTAATTCAACATTTCGAGCTAAGATTTATCTTTGTCGGAAAACAGCGGAGAGAAAACGAACACATAGCTCATAAAAAGTTTCGCAAGAAGCTGCAACACAGTCGATGCATCGGTAAAGAAGAGTCTCCAAAATAACGGGAAGAAATTGAATGCATAGGTAAACAAGAGTATTATTTATCCATTCTTCAATCGAATCTGAAACCCACCTCCTGGCCGTGTTTATTACAAATAAAACAATCACAAAAACAACAGTCCTGCAACAAAAATTTTATCTAAGTGAGAAAAATAAAAACTAAAATCGAAACTATCGTATGAATACACTATTATTTATCGTTTCAGGAGATTAATGAGTGCTTAACAATTTTTTATACCAATTTTACCCTTTATCATTAAGTACGGAGAGAAAATAGACACGAGAGTAAAGATAAGTGTGTCGTGTTAATTAATGCCGAAATAATCTTGTAGGAAGGGTAATTTCGGGTTTTCTTGTCAAAATGAAGAAACGGAGGAAGCACGATTAAGGACACGATAATTACAAATATATAAAAGTCAAATAATTACCATATGAATTGCAGCATCTTCATAACGAGGTATCCAAAGATGAAACAAAGCAATATAAAAGTTATGCCTCTCACGAACACGTTGCCATCATGCCTTTGGTTTTGATTTTGGCGCTGCATTACATGTCGTAAATTATGTGAACATTATTTATTGCTTTAAAATGGAATATTAGACAACTTAATTAATAGTACGAAAAACAACATGGGAAGTAAAAGAAAACAATCCCGAAAGATTTAACGATCAAAAAACTAATATATGAGCAAGATAACGATCTTCCTTATATGTGAGCCAAGACCTACGCGTGTGCGCGTGCACTATTTCAAATTTCCTTTTGGTCGAAATAAAGCTAAAAAATATGTTTTTTTTTTTTTTGCGGAGAAATTATAAAATAAGGAATAAATAATTTCAGAGGAAATATTAAACAACCTGAAAATTCGATGATTGATGAACGTACACCACATCCAACGGGTGAAATTCAACTCGACCGCCTCTTTCCTTGAACTATACGCAAGAAATATTAAAGCCCACATGTTAAATCTATGATCATCCAATAAAAAAAAAAAAGAAAAAAAAAAGCAGTAACAAAAATACGACAATCACAATCCACAACCAAAACATCTTGCATTTGGAATATATATGTTTACAAAAGTATATAAAAAGAAAAAAAAAAAAAGGAATATCGATTTTGCGTAGATGAATAAATTAATTTTATTTTAATTTTACGATTACCAGTTTCTTACAGCTTTCTACAGTGTCCCGACGAGTTGCTACAGCACTCTTAATAGAAATCTCATCCTTATATTGCATGCAAGAAGGGATCCTTGTTAGACTGTGCATAGTTACTGCAAAAGAAACAAGAGACCATTTTTCAGGAAAAAAAAATGGCATCTTTTATAAACACAAACATCGTATTTATCTATAAATTTTCGATATATATACACATTTCGTACATTTATTAATGTTTATTTACATATCAATCTATAGCGTGTTCATGAAACCTTTAACATGACAACTTGATCCGGGCAATAGAATTCCGTAACTGAATGAACAGAAGTACTTCTCCGGATTCTTGGTCGAAACCTTAAATAAAACATAGGATCTGTAACAAATATATATAAATGCATAGACTGACATATAGATATATAGATACGCATGACCGCATCCGCAATACAAAAAACACAAAATTGTTCACCTTAAAGGCAACATACTGATCGGTGTTATTCCACAGTCGAATCGTGCAAGAAGCTCGTCTCCTCAGCTCAACTAATCAAACAAAAATATACAGTTTATAAAAATGATAAAAAGTAAAAAAAAAAAATATAATATAACCAACTAATTAAGCAATCATGAATAAAGTGATAATTAATAAACCAACTAATATTTAGAGACTAAAAAAAAAAAACTGACAACAGAAAGTGAGTTGTTTCGGAGGTTCGACTTCGAGAAGCGGCATACTAAGAAATTAACGCCTTCACCACAGCTAATTAAAAGGGAAAATAAATCCCCTTTTGGTTTTTTTAGGGTTTCTGAATGGGGAATTGAAAAAATTGGGGGAGAAATTGAAAATAATTTGGGGAAGGCTGAATCAAAGACATTGAAATGGTCAGATGAAAAGACCCAATTATTGGTCTTTTTTTTCTATAAATCAAATAAAAAAGACTTGACCTCGCGTTTGAGTGTATAAAATAAATTAATCTTGGTGGAAGAAACTTGTGGATTAAGAAATGGCAATTGCAGAAGAGTGAGAGGGAAGAAGGAAGGAACGCGCCAATTTATAAGGTAAAAGTTTGAATTTTTCAAACATTTAGCGCGTAATAAATAGTGTTTTTATCCCATGTCACTGTGTATATACTATATAGTATACGTGTGCATAAACTGGGACCCGCCCCGTGTTGAGTGTAGATTTTACGCTCAATACGCTTACTTAACGTGGTTCTTTTGTTTAGATTTAATTATATTTGTGCTTTAATTGATTGATTTTGTGTTTAATAGGTGAAAAACGAGAATTATGTGTTCTTGAAGGAAAAAAGATCAAAAAGAAAGGAAAAAGTTGCAAATAAGGAAATAAATCAAATTGGAAGAAGGAATCTCGCAACAGCTTTGGTAGTGTCCACCATTTCGAGCACATCTCTCTCATACGAACTCCAAATCAGCTGATTTTGGCGGCATTGGAAATCTAATTTCAAGGGCTACAATTCTTATTTACGCAACATTCCAAAATTCGGACTCCAACATCACGCAAATCGAAGAACAAATCATGATGGGGGAAAGTGGCGGAAATTGATTCCTATTAGGTTTCCACTACTTCCTTATCAAGAAAAGCCTATAAAAGCAACAAGTCTCCACACCATAAGCACGAAATTTTACACCACAATACGTGAGGAACGAAGATCAACGAAGACTCAAGCATAGTTTTTCTTATTTAATTTATTTCTTTTATTTTCTTTATCATAAGAATCACGAGTAGCTAAGTCTTTAGTTTCTAGGATTTTATTTGGAACCCTATGTGGGATTTATGAACCTTTTTCTATGATTTTATGCAAGTTTTAATCCCGGATTATTTCTTCTACTTGTTTTATTAAGTGCATGAACTTGATCACCCTATGTGCTTTTATGTTATTGTTAATCGCATGAATCGAAAGATCGGGTTAATAATTAGAACTGTGGTAGAAGAGCCTTTGTGGTATTAACATAGGAATATAGTTAATCTCTTAGGTAGCCATTATTGAGATTTGTGCTTAATGTTGTGTTCTAGAATTAATTGCATAGGAATATAGTAATTGAATGTAGAGTATTAGAATCGTAATACATGCGGAAGCGGGTTATGATTATTTTAGCATCTCAGGTTAATAATCCGGGTTAATTACTTGCATACTTGAAGGAATTGGGGGAATAATAATCACATAGGGGGAAGAATAAAATCCTAGGCTTGTTTACTCTGATTAAACCTTTGTTTTTAACGGATTAGATAATTAAATATTCCCTGTGGGTTCGATATCCAGACTTTTAGTCCACTATATTACTTGTACGATACGTGCACTTGTGTGTAGGTTATCGGCCAACACCCCGGACCCTGCTCCGCGTCCCCTTAGGTCGGTTTTCTGGCGGGTCCCGCCCTGTGGCCGATTATGAGTTGCGGTCTTTCCCCACAAAAAAATTTCAACCCACCAACCATAATTTTAATTTTGAGTAAATTGCTAACACCACCACTGTGTAATAGTTAATTGCTAAAAGAATCTTTGTGTTATAAAAATTAGCAAAACCCTATGTGATTACAAGTCAAAGGCGAAAAAGTCCCTTGAAGCTGCTCGTGGTAGTCACGCGCGGGTTGTGCAGTTCTTTTTGTAATTTGGTGAAATGACATAAACACCCAATTATACATAAATGTGTGTTAAATTTGATGTAATTATAAATAATTCAAATTCAAAGGACCAAATAGCATTTTTCAAAATCTTAAAATCCTGACCATCTTCTTTCTCCCTCTCCCTCTCAACTCCATCCTTTGTAAAACAAAAATTCCAGCACCTTAAGAAAAAATAATAATGGTTTTGCCGTCTCAGATCTGCCGAAAGACAAAGGAACTTCACGTGGATTCAAACGACGAACATGGGTTTGGAGCTCGTCGGCGGAGTCGAAGTAGGTGAGGGTGGCGTTTGGGTAGAATGCCCCTCACAGGAAAATCATGGTTCTTTGGAACGGGCTTCTCTCTCGACCACCCGTACCAATCGCGCGCCTCTCAAAACTTCAAACTTCCATTTTTCTTTCGATTTATTTGGTGATTGTTGTATGGTTTCGTCTTTAAAGAGATCGCCTGAGGTGGACTTTATTGGATATATCATATATGTATTTTCAGTCGTGGCAGCGGTGGATTTCGTGAAGAAGGTTGGTGGCGGATTGGTGATTGACTGATTGATGATTGCTGGCGGCGGCGAGGTTGGTGGTTGATTGGATTTTCAAAAGGTTGGTGGTGATGGTGTGCGTAGTGCGTGTTTCAATCTAGGTTTAATAATATTTTTTGGAAAATTACAATTCAGTCCCCTAGTTTAAGTCTCAGAAGTTTAGTAAAATTGCAATTTGACCTCTATTATATATTAATTCTAATATTTTTTTTAAGAGAACGACACCCGATGAGGGTGGGGGGTTTAGGCTTGACCCCCTACCTGTTTATAAAACAAAATTTAAGAAGTACATAATGAGTTTTGCTCAAACTGCTACTGCCCAACATATGGCTACTAATAGAAATTGACAAACAAAAGACAATAGCTAACTAACAAAACGTTAAGAATACGGGCAAAACAGGTGGTCCAAATAATAAAAAGGACAGGGGTGGGAATGATCATAGAAGGTCGGGGAAGACCAAGGTAGACCGTTCGCCTCACCACAACAGCCGAGGCCACTTATACTTTCGCCAAAAATGGGCGAAACAGGTATAACGGCTGCGAAATGTGCGGCACCATTCGACAAACAGTCTAGTCTTGATAGACCCAGACAATCCATAATCACCCCAACCCTGCCTAACATGTAAAGTTCACGAAAATGCCTAAATTGCCAATAATATAAAAATGTGGAATGCATGGCACCTATGTGCGAGACTGTTGTCGAAAGGATGGATATCCAAGCTGGTCCATCCGAATCATCTGCTGAATAGGTCGGGGAATCTCCGCTGTTGTGAAGGTAAGAGCCAACTCGGTCTGACACCCCAAATTAGCTAATACATCTGCGACTGTATTGCCCTCCCGGTAGATATGTATAATTCTGTACTCCAAAGTAGAAAGAGAGTTACGGATCGCCGTGAGAAAACTCTGAAGACTCCAATGACCTTTGTCCGTGTGCAAAAGAAGTCGAACAGTGACTTCTGCGTCAAGCTCGATCCAAACTCTAGTGAATTGTCTCTGAATAACAAATCTCAGCCCCGAGGCAAGGGCAGCAAGCTCGGCTGCAATACTGCTCGAGACAGAGATCCTCTCGTGAAATGCAAGTATGGCATCAGCGTCCGAACCTCTGATAATCCCACCAATAGCTGCAATCTGGGTGGATGCTCTACGGGCTCCGTCTGTGTTTAGCTTCACCCAACCCGGATCCGGTGGAAGCCAAACAACTCGATGAGGTGTGAGAGTTGGTGTTCTAACCCGGTAATATAGGCCAAGAGACTCAGCCACGTGGGGAATGCCAGTCCAGCTGTCCGCCGAAAGTAAGTTGGTTTGATGAAGAATCCTGATGTGCTGGATGACCCTGTAAATGATGGAAGAAGCGCGAACCATGATATCCTTGTGATTTCTATCATTTCTTGCAATCCATAAGAACCACAAGATCAAGCAAGGCACAATGGTCGTGATGTGTGTGTGGTGTGTGAGTGTGTGCAAAGTGAAGTGCTGCCAATAAAGTAAAATCTGGGGTATGTGCGTAGTGTGTGCAGGTGTATAGCCAAAAAGATAGAAAAAATGATGCCATACCCTCTTAGCCGTCGGGCTCTCCACGAAGATATGATCGATCAACTCAACAAAAGGAGACCCGACAGACTGAGATACAAGACTCGACACAGGAATAGATGGATCTGGACAACAATAGCACCTCGAGGCGAGAGAGGTGCCTCGAGACTGAAGTTTAAGATCCACTGGAAGACGCTGAAGAAGGAGACGCCAAAGAAAGATAGAAATTGTACGAGTAAGACAAGATCCCAAAAATATACGAAGAAGAGGGGTAGGGGTATGTTGTTGTCGTATCAAGGCCCAAGCCGAGGTCAAGAAAAACTTACCATTCGAAGAAGCTCTCCATATAGGCAAATCAACCGAAACACCAGAGATCGGGACCGAGCAAATCCTATCAATCCACTCAAAAGGAATATCCTCAGCTAGCTTGTTTCGATCCCACTGACCATTAACCAAATAATACTCCACACGAACTGACGTTAGCCGACCACCATCAATAATGCCCGAAAGGGGACCATCGCCAAACCAGTGATCGTGCCAGAAATAAACATGACTTGGACCAATTCGCCAAAATATTTGAGCTTGAACACGCTTTCGGACACGGCACATGCGCTTCCACACAGTGCTATAGAGTGAAGACACAACGGATGAACCTGGGAACCGATTCCGGGAATACTTGTTTTGGAGAAAACGGGCCCAAAGAGAATCCTGAGCACGGAATCGGAACCAGAGCTTGTAAGTGGAGGCGTCAATCACATCCGTCAAACGCCTCAACCCCAAGCCACCCTCACCAACTGGCCGGCAAATCGTCTCCCAAGCAACCCAATGAGGCTGGCGCTGATTACCATAAGATCCTCAGAGAAATCGGGCCATGCACTGCTCAATCTGCTGAATAATATACTGCGGAGGTTGAATAACCTGAACAAGATGCGAAGCCATAGTCGAAAGCGTACTCCGGATCAAGGCAAGACGGCCCCCGAAAGCCAAAGCGGTCCGAGCCCAACCCGAAATCCTGGCATGCATGCGATCAAGCAAAGTCCGAAACAAACTGCCCCGGTCCCACCCCTTGTATAACAGAGCTCCAAGATAAATGATAGGAAGATCATTTCTCAGATAACTGAGAATCCGAGAAATAGTGTGAAGATGACCATCAGAACATGCCCTATCAACTGTGAAAGTGCTCTTGTGCACACTAATCAACTGACCCGAAGTCCGACAGTAATGATCGAGAAAATCCCGCAGCTTCTTCAGGCCAAAATTATGGCACGAGGTACATATCATCACATCATCCGCATGGGCCAAGTGGGAGATAGGGATGCCTCCCTTTGTAGAATAAAACATGCCCGGGCAACGGCTGTATAGTGCATCTAGACCTCTCGAAAAATAATCAGCCGCAAGTACAAAAAGAGTCGGCAAGAGCGGATCTCCCTGCCCTAAACCACGAAACGAAGTGAAATACCCCGTCAGCTCCCCGTTGATTAGTAAAGAGAACTGGCACGAGGAAACACATCGCCGAATAATATCAACCAAGTTCACCGAGAAACCCATCAGCTCGAGTACACGAAATAAGAACCGCCACTGAACCCTATCATAAGCCTTTGCCATATCCAGCTTCAAAATAAGATTCGAATTTCGACAACGAACTGATATCGAGTGGACCATCTCTTGTGCTAATAAAATATTGTCACTAATGAGACAACCCTGAACAAACCCACTCTGAGAAGGAGAAATAATGTGGGGCAAATGAGGTGTCAATCTATTCGTAAGTAACTTAGTGATAATTTTGTTGGTCACGTTGCACAAGCTAATCGGGCGGAAATCTGTCAAAGCCGTCGTAAAGTCCACCTTTGGAATAAGAACCAAGGTGGTAGCGGCGAAGCTCGCAGGCATAGATCTACCCTCGAAGAAATCCCAAACCGCTTCAAAAATATCACACTGAATCAAGTCCCAACAATGCTGATAAAATAGCGAAGAATACCCATCAGGACCCGAAGCACTATCTCAACAAATCCCAAACACTGCATCTTTGATCTCCTCAACCGACGGACAAGTAGAGACTGAAGTAAAGTCCCTTTGAGGAGCGAAAAATAGGGACTCATCAACCGGAAGCAAACTAAGCATATCATCGGTAAGAAGCTTGCTAAAGAAATTAATTCCCGAATCCTTGATCTCCTGAGCAGATGTGAGAACCGAATCACCATGAGAGATAGAGTGGATTCGATTAACACATCGCTTTTTCTTCACTAATGAGTGGAAAAACTTAGAGTTTCTCTCTCCATCAGTCGCCCATCTACAAGCTGCCTTCTGCTTCCAAAATTCCTCCTCAATATTGAGCATGAGAGTAAGTTCAGCAGTGGCCTTTTTCAAATTTGCACGGTTCTCGGGAGATCGATCCAAGTCATATATGTGCTCGGCCTCTAGAACAGCTGCCTCGGCCCTCTCTTTATTCTTGAACACGTCCCCGAAAACATTCCAATTCCACCACTGAAGCTTCTGTTTCAATCGTCTCAACTTCGTATGTAATCGAAGCATCCCCGTCTGAGCACACGGAAAATCCCAAACCTATTCCACAGTCTGACGAAACGTAGCGTGGCGGATCTACATATGCTGAAACCGGAATGAAGCAGGAGGCCTAGACGAAGAAGCAACCGATGAAACCAAAAGAGGAGCATGATCCAACCAGGTCCGTGAGAGGTGGGTAACCAGTGTATAAGCCAGTAAATCTAGCCAAGCAGAGTTATATAGAATCCTGTCCAAACGCTCCAAAAGACCTGAAGGGCTCTCCGAAGTATAGCAAGAACTAGCCCCAGAGAACCCGACATCCGAAAGTCCACAATCCAAACCCATAGCACCAAACTCAGCCATATCTAGTCTCCTATCCCAAACCGATCTATTCCGTTCTGACTCAAGTAAGATTGAGTTGAAGTCACCCCCTGAAATCCAAGGAGTGTCACAAATCGTCTAAAAAATGTCGCAGAACGAATTCCACAAAACACAGTGCTCGGAACGAGAGCAACTAGCATAGACTGCAGTAAATACAAAAGAAGCACCAAATAAACCAGATATGCATCTAACATGCAATAATTGTACCTCATCCCTAAGCAACTCCACTCGAAAATTGTGATTCCAAAAAATCCAGATCTTCCCCGCACAATTAGACAAACCAGCAACGAAACCCGAACGACGGCAATAGTAATCATGCAGAAACTCAGTCATAGGTTCAGAAATAACCAATAAATTAACTCTATGTTGGTGACAAATAAAGCGCAAGTGGGATTGGGTCGCCTTATTTTTTACCCCCCTTGCGTTCCACACCAAGAATTTACTCGACATCAAGAAGAGGGGGAATGGGACCCATCTGAAGATTTCCGATATGTGACAAAGAATGAGTTACCAATAAGGTGGGCCTCCTCCGCATGCAACGTTCGGTATTCTGCAAACGCCAACGCTCAGCATCAATCAGGCTCGATCGCCACGAGGCCGAAGGTTCATCAGTGATAGAGCCCGGAGTAGCGTGATCAGCTAGGCGTATGCTCGTGGCTGGGCTCAAGGGCTCATAAGGGATCATCGCAAGGTGATTGAAAGGAGGCGTGTCGGCCAAAATTTCCTCGGCCATGGGCCGGACCTTGGTCACATAGTGTTCGCAAAATAAGGCAGCCGACGTAGGTGTAGTCGGATCCGTACCCGCCGAAAGTCCTGACCCCTCTCGTCCGTGTACCCCATGATTAAGGGGAAGATCCCTGACCACCGAAGTGGCCGAAGATGATAGAGAGGGGGTTGAGAGGGCTGCCCCCTTTGCGGTTCGGGAGCTAGAAGCTTGATTTCTGTTCTTTTTGGAGGGAGACACGTGCTGATTTTTTTTGGACATGGATAAGGCCTCAATATCATCCAAATCAGCTGCTTGATCATCGGCAATAGTAGCTATAGGGTCTGGACTCATCGGTTGTTAGGTGTTAAAAGTATTTTTTCGGCCCTTTTTCGAAGATTTTGGAACATGATTGGGGGCAACATCCGGTTGAGTATGAGCAGCCTCTATATCCTCTTCAACCCCACTCTCCAAAAATTTAAAGGGGTTGTAATGCTCAAAATCTCCTTCATTAATATTATCGGCAGTAGTCCGCACAATAGCTTGAGAAAAACTAGGATTTTCATTTGATTTTGTCCGCGATGTTTTAGGAATATCCATGTTATCAACAACAACATTTTTCCTCTTCTCAACTCGTCGCCAAACTTGTTCCTTTGGTGGGGCTGTGGGTTTGGGAATTCGTTGTGGCGGTGGTGGAAAATTCGGTTTTTTAGCATTTCCATTCATATAACAATTTTCAATCGAGTGACCCAGGTGAGAACAAAACGTGCAGAATTTTGGGACGTTCTCGTAGTTTACCGGCAAGGAAATCATTTCAATATCATCATAGCCGGTCATCACCGGAATTTGTTCAACCCTCGGTTTCAAGAGATCAATTTCGACACAAAATCGGGCAACAGATAGCTTCTTTCGATTGGCTGTAAAATCATCAAACTCAAGTGGATTTCCAATTGAAGAAGCAAGGAAGAATATAGCTTCCCGGTTATACATATAAGGAGGAACTCCCAGCACATTAACCCAGACCGGTGCTATAGAAGTTTCGTTTTCCAAATTAAAGCTTGGAGTATATTTAAAAACATGCATGGGCAGATCATCAATATAAAATATCGATCTTCTCAAAAGCAAAGAATAATCATCTAATACCGAGAATTGAATCAACACATACCGATAATTCAATTTATGCAACTCAAAGGAACCGCGGGGCTTTAAATCGTAAATAAACTTCTCCATAACTTTGTAATGAGCTATCCCATGAGAAAACTTACCAATCAAGGTGTACTTTAACGGCTCAAGCATCTTATCAACCTCCTATTTCGAGAAATAGAGCACATTCTTGCCATCTATCACTTTAATTGTCCCAATTGGAGCGATTTCTTCTCGGTTGAGCAAGTGACGACGACGATCAACCTTAGAAGGAGCAATTGGAGGTCCGAGATCACCGTGTACAGCAGCAGCAAAGGATTTGGTCGGGGATTGGGATTTTGGGGTTTGAATTTCGGGATTAGGGGTTTCAATTTCGGGATTAAGGTTTTTTAATTGGGGATTTTGGGTTTGGAATTGGGAATTCGGATTATGATTGTCCAATTCAGAAATAGGGATAGAAGTATCATTTTTCGTATTTGAATTGGACATAAGACCAGCTTGGGCCACAAGATTGGGGTTTATGTGGTCCGTTTTAGGGTTTTGGGCTCGCGTTTGAGTGATATTATCGTGAGCCGATTTTAGAGTGGAAGATAGGCCTTTCTTAGGAGAGTTAGGGGCTGAGATGGGCTTAAGGGCCGGTAGTTTGAGGCTAGAAAAATCCTCATAGGATGGTGATTTGGCAAGTGGTGTAAACTTGGCGAATTGTGGTTGGCTGAGGTGAGGTATTCTAGCCAAGTCAAGGGGTGAGGTGGAACGGGCGGGAAAAGTGGTTGGTGAAATTTGAATTGTGGAGACCTTGCCTTATGTAGAAGATTCAGCTTCCACAATCAAAGAAGATTGATTGGTGAAATCTTCCATAAATACCACGTCCGAAAAGAAAGGTCCTGATTTAGAATGATCTTGATTTGCTACACTCATTAAAGGAGGAACCAAGACAAGATGAGAGTCTAGATTCATGCAGGGGCACAAGCAGCAGCTACCCACTCAAAGATCTCCACCCAGAGAAGGCGGAGATACGACGGAGACACGAAAAAACCGATGACAAGACACGAAACAAAATAAGGACGAAACAAACCTCCACTAAAACTCAAATTAAAGAAGCACAACGAGCAAAAAAAACGCCCTAAAATGGAAGCAAAAAACGAGGCTGAGATCACAAGGAATGAAAGCAGCCCCAAAACCGAACGAAATGAAGGAGAAACAACCAAAAAACGACACAAAAACACAAGAATACGGCTGACCCAAACACAAACGCGAAAAAAACAAGGAACACTACCGCATTTTGAGAAATTATATGCAAAGAGCACGAAAACCTCAAAACCAATGGATAATTGAAATAAAATGACAATAAGAAACGATTGTCAACTAACCAGAAATGAATGAAATGAAAAACGAACATATGAATGGCTAAAATCGATCAAAGTCTTCGTAGGAATGACACAACATTCTAGAGAGAAGGCAGAGCGTTTTTTCTAGAAAGACAAACATTTTTTTTTTACTTTCCTTTTGGCATTTAATTCTAATATTATATTAACTAAAGGATACATTTGTCTTTTCATCTTTGTTCAATGACTAAAATCACAATAGGTGCAATAAGCTAATAAACAATCATATAGCGGATTTTTCGCAAAGTTTTATAACACAATGACTTTTTTTAGCAATTCAGAATTATACAGGGATAGTTTTTGCAATTTACTCTTTTAATTTTTAAATTACTTCTAGTTAAAAAGTCTATTTTACCCTTAACTTAGTTACTTCCATTAACCACCATGAAATGTATCTCATTTTCTCTTAAGACAGATGTAAACAAATTTTAAATTATTTTTTCTTATTTTAATTTGTGTAAATGGCAAATAGGCACATAACAAGTGAACTTAATTAAAAAATAAACATTCAACTTTTTTGTCTTCCAAATAAATCCAGCTCGTTCAAATTTATTTGTAAATAATGAAAACTCTTTTATATATATATATATATATATATATATATATATATATATATATATATATATA